AGGGGCTCCTGGCCCGCGTGGAGGCCTTGGAGAAGAAGGGCAAGAGCCCGCTCCTGATAGAAAATGGCGGAAGAAGGAGTCGAGTTCTTCCGGGAGCTCGCAGCCGAGTGCAACGCGCGGGACCCCCACAAGCTCTACCAGATCGCCCGACGGGACCACCCGGAGCGACGGGACCTCACGGCTGCACGGGTTCGGGCGGCGCTGCGCACGGATGTGGCCCGGCAGGTGCTGGCGCCCAAGCCACGGAGCCTGGGCAAGAGTGCGGCCGAGGGTCCCAACGACCGGCTGCAAGCGGACCTGGTGGAATACTTCGCTCTGCCTCTTCTCGTATGACAACAAATCTGGACCGTGGAGTCCAGTATCGCCTTTTGCATTATGCTTGCACGGTCTCCATTCGTGCACACTTGGATGCCGATGTAAAGTCCTCCGAATTGGTTGGGGCTGCTCTCCAGCTTATCCACCGCTGTTGGTCCAAGGGATGCCCTCCAGTTAAGGGAGATAGATGGATGCGGATGACTTGAGTGGCAGCAATGGGGTTGCAAACTCTGCGCTCTATGGGTTCAGTAAGTGTGGCGTGGTATCATGTACTTGCTGGCTACATCGGGCAGGCGTATAAATGCGCTTCCGGTGACATTGCATGCATCTTGCAGAATTGCCACAACCACCCTGGGCAGCTACGAGGAGTTTTTTCTTCGGTTGAGGCTGTCCTGTCTGCCTGTTTTCGTCTTCATGCACCTCTTGGGTCTTGGTGCGACCTGCTTTCGTTGGCCAAATCGCCACCTTCGTCCTCGTTGAAGTTGGACTCGAGTTTGGATGTACACTCAAGTACACCATGTGTTGCTCACCCACACGCACGGAGAGTGGTACCTCCTCGACTCTACCCAACTAGGCGCCGGATTGCCGCCACTGCGCAGGCAATCTTATGGACTTGGAAACCCGTGCAAGACCTTTCAACCAAACGCTAGGAGAACGTCTCGCGAGTGAGGCCACCTGCGTCAGTTCGCTGAATAGTTCGTCCCCGCCACACAGTCGAACCTTCTTGCAAAGTTGTCTGACCTGACCAGCCGTGCACATGAGAGCCAGCATCCGATCTCAGTTCTTCACCAGGGGGGAAGCCTACGAATACGAACACGTTTTCAGACAAGGCATTGCCCTCTTGACATGTCGTGAAGCATCTTGAAAGGATTTTGAAAGCGGACGACTTGAGCAACAGGCTGCAACAGCAGCTCAAGGCAGGTGACTGTACATAACTTGTTCCATCTGTCCACGTGGCCCAGAGTCCACGCTTGGACTTGCCTGGCACACACGAGCTTCAGATGTCCGCAACCAATCAGAGGAGTGCCTTCGAATTTGGTCAGCTGTCCGCAACCAATCAGAGTGCCTTCGCATTGCCGACTTGAACGCACCTTGCCTTGAATCACCTGAGGCTGCCTTCCGATCCGACAACTTGTGCCGAGCAGTTGGGTTTCCTTGAAAGCACACGCAGCTGGATTTCATGGCCTTTGTGATCGCTGCTCGCGCGTGCTTCTTCTGTGGCGTGGGAGAACAGGCAAGACGCAAAAGGCAAGGTGCGTGCAAGTCGGCAATGTGAAGGCACTTTGATTGGTTGCGGACAGCTGACCAAATTCGTGTGTGCCAGGCAAGGCCAAGCGTGGACGGCACACCACAACACACAACAAGCCCACTTCTTTTCTTGCTTCTTGCTGAGTGATACACCATGGACCATAGATATATGTGGAAGTTACAAGCACAAAGAACGGGGAGACTTTAAGCCTTTGAGACGTTAAGCCTTTTAGACCTCTTCCTTGCTTCAGCTACTGGCGTCTGCCGTGCGCTGCCCAGAATGCAGGAACGCTGCAACCGCCCAATCCCCAGTCGGTCGGAGCTCCCCAGATGCGTCCAGACGGCCACCGCTCGCATTAGCATGCACATGTTTGGCTCAAGTGCGCTCCCTTCAGCCACTTGAGGGGCGTTTGCTATGTTTGCGAGGACTACTCTTTGGGTTTCAGGACACGGAACAAGTTCCTCTCCGGGCCTCGTTCCCTTCCCTAGGTGCTTGAGTTGGGTGAAGGCTGAAGGTCACGCTCCGATTCGGTTTTTGGGTCCTTCGGCCTGGTGACTTTGCCAAACGGGCGCCAGCCCACAGATCGCCGTGGTCAAGGAGCCCAGTGCCGGCCAGAGGCCTGTTGGATCAAGCTTGAACACCGCCGTACGAATGTCTTCTGAATTCTCGCGCGGGTTGTCCCAGTCGTCGACTCGCCCTGCAGCCTCGGGCAGATCTGGCATGAGAGGTCTGAAAGTGAGCTGTGAAGCTCCTGTGATTCGGCCTCGTCACCGGGAAGCAGCAGTGGATTGTCCAGTCTTCGGCCAGAGGTCATTGATGTCTTTGCGATGCTTGTCGCGGCGCCTTCCAGCTCCCGATGTCTTGGCAGTGGCCTCCTAGAGGGAAGAAAGGTGGTCCCTTTGGCTCGCATGGTTTCGACACAAGTTCAGCACCGCACGATGGACAGCAAGTTCCCAGCCGAACTTGGCAAATTTACCCTGGTGCAAAGCCTGAGTAGACCGCGCTTGATTAGGAGCCGCGGAGCCTCACGGAGCGCCGGGAAGAAAAGGGGGTCATGACACGGCCATACCCCTATGCCCTATGCAGGCACAACCCACGATTTCACATCTTCAGTCCCTCGCTGGCCAACAAATGCCATTCCCTCTACAGCTTGTCCCGACTCTTCTCCCAAGCCCAAGCTCCACAACCTCCACAAGGGCTCCGTCATTATCCACAGCCTGCCTCGCTTTACCACATGGTATCCTTTAACGATAACTTGTTGTAAGTTTGTCGGCTTTGCCATTCTTATTGCAGGATTTGAACTCTACGTTTCTCAGAGAGCCAAGCACTAGGACCTAGGACTTTTTCTTGAATGGTAGAAGGTTTCCCGTTTAAAGTGTTAGGGTTTAGGGTGGAAGACCAAAATCGCCCGGTACGCTTCCAACTTCATTTGAAAACTCTCAGGGGTTTCTGGGCGGCTTAACCTCTGTCTTGTCTGCCCCGTCACTTTTGGAGTAGGCTCTAGACGTTGTTCATATGCATGAGCTCAGTCAAGGAACCTGAAAACAAACAGGTCTTGCACATGTGCACTTACTTCTGGCTAGAAAGCGTTCCTGACTACGTTGTGAATGACATCATGGTTGGGCCATCTCACAAGTTGTCCAAGTAGCAATTGAAGCCAGCCTCCCACGGCACTGTACGTGTTTCCGCAGGAGCTGGACAATTACGATTTTGAGCTTGCCCTGAAACTTGACACATGGAATCGGTACGGCTCGAAAATTTTGTCGATTTTGGCCAACAATTCTTCGCGGCTTGACATGATGATGTTTCTGTCGATGTCCGTCAGGTCGATCTGCCAGATTTAGAAAGGCTTTGTCGCCCATTTTCCACTTTGGCCCAATGCATGCCTAGGGCTAGCAGTTTATAGCCCTGATCCGGCCCAACGTATGCCAATTAAGACAATCATCCGGGCCTGCACATCCCGGAAGGGCCAAAAACCACCAAGAACCTTCGCGATAATTTGAAGAGTGACCCCGTTGCCACGAATGCCAGAGAGCATTCGCGGCGCCTAACGCAAAAGCGATGCCCAGAATCGGTGCGATGTTGCAGGGTGCTCCAAATAAGCTGTTCAAAACAGGGAAATGCGGTGGGCTGTCGATCTTGGACATGTTTGCAAAAGTTGCAAGTAAAGCCACCACATCTTTTCACGGTTTAGCAAGCGACGAATGGTTCTTTGCATGGCTGTGCATTGTTTTCGGATCGAATCATGCAGTAGGGTGCTGTACCATGAGGGAGGTCCAACAAAGCTATGGCGTGCAACAGCAGTTTTGACAGTACCTGTAGTTGGGTTTGTAGGCCAACAGCTCACGCTTTGCGTGTTCTGTTGCCACCTAGTTCAACACACCCTAAAACATCACAGATTTTCATTAGTTACGTTTAACCATTGAACGTGGCATAGCGCATCACCTGAATTCGCGAGGCGGCTTGGCACAATGTTTGCATTCGCCCTAAGAGTGAGTTTGCAGCGCTATGTGCATGTGGAAATGTCAGGCCACCAGGCCGCTGCCGACATCCATGCATGTGCTTCCCACTCTCGAAGGCAGCGATGTGTGTGTGTGTGTGAACTTGTTGAAGACAAGTGAGCTGTTGAAGCCATTAGTTGAATCTGGGAGGCAAGTTTCGGGTTTTGGGATCCGCACACGCTGTTTTGTCAGGTCGGTTGCTTCCCAGCAGCATTCTTGCCATTTCAGTGGCCCTGACGTTGGTGTGCAGCATCGAGGCCATGGTAGTCGCCAGCAGACTGTCCGCTCGATCAATGCATTATCCATGCATGGTTCTTGCCTGCTGCTATGCTTGTTGGTTCCCTGGGCATATCCCGCAGGGTACCCCTTCCTAACCATGTCCACTTTATCCACAGGCTGTTTCCAACGCGACAGCGGGCTTGGAAGTTGACCTGTCATACAGGGAGGCATGGTCCTTTAGCCAGATCTTCTGCTTGCCAGTTGTGCGGCGGATGTGGCAGGCTTCGCCAGCTCCATGGACCTTGGCAGCTCACGGCGACTTGGAAACCAGTTGACTTTCAGATGTTGCTCGTAGCTACCGGTCATTCGATCATTTGGGCGTGGTGCATCGCAGGTGAGCGTGATGCCCGCGATGCACGATCCAACGTGGCCAGATCCCTGAACTGCAAGTGTTCATTTCGCGGAGGGCCAAGCGTGAACCGACTGATGCTTTTCGCTGCCTTCTGCCCAAGATCGGTAGGGAAGGGTGGGCTGTGAAAGCCTTGCTCCTCGGTCGTGTTCTTAGACTTCGATCAAGATAGGATCATATTGACAGGCAGTGTGAACATGCGTTTCTGAGCTGACTGAACACTAAGACACTAAGAGACCAAGAGCTGCTAAACAGCACGCAGCGTTCGGTCCGAGAGTCTGTGCAGGATTGCCTTCCTATCGTCGGCATGGCGAATACAGCCTCGGGCAAGGAACTTAAGCCCAAGGTTTGATAGGTTCGATTGTGAAAGAAGTATGGCCTGCCACTGCAACTGGCTACTGTGGTTGCGGCGTTGAACGCCAAGGCTGCGTTGAACCTAAGGTTTCATTGCAGAGGACGCTGCTTATGACAAGTCCCTCTGCAGCAGATGATTTCGATGTCCAGGTACTCGAGACCAGACATGCTGTGACAGTGATGTGAAGCTGAGGATTCTCTATGTGAGCAAAGACAGGCTGGAGGTGCGTGAGTGTCGAGTTCAAAGCATGGTGTGCAGCTGTGCATGCTTCTGCCATGGGTTTTTGCACTTTTGCAGGCGCTCAGAGGCAAGTTGAAGGGGAAGAAGGGATCAGTCTGGCGGCTGCAGACACTGCTGTCGCTTTTATGATTCGTTCCTTTTAAAGTTTGCTAGGTTAAGCACCCTAAACCCTATTTGCCTGCTGCACGGCTCGTGAGCCTAAGGCCGTTACCAAAGCGGACGTCAAAGCTTTAATGCCGCTTGTTAATGAGGACGGTAGCCATCCGATGATCACATCGATGCAGGGGCTTTTGCAGCATAGCTTGCTGCATTCTTGCACGACATTCTCCAAAACGCCAAGGTATCCAGATGACATGGATGACGATTCGATGCTGGTGCCGGTTGACTTGTCTAGCGAGCCGGAAGACTTCCCGAACACATGCGAAGATCTTACAGCGAAGGCCCACAGTATTTTGAGAATTGCTGGGTTGTTGATGGCCTCTGAATCCTGCAAAATGACCGCACGAGATGCAGTCCTTAGCTTGCGCTCCAACCTTGGGAGAATTTGGTCTGTGTTTTGACTTCTGAAATTAGCTTAGCTTTGGGGGTTCAGGACAAGAAGAAGACGAGACGGAAAGAAGAGAACGAAGAGACGATAGAGGAATGAGATATACCAGGCATGTGAGAGACCATCAAAAAGCTGAGAAGTAGATCTCGTCTAGAGAGAAGACGGAGAGAGAGAGGGAGATAGAAGACACACCACATGCTTATGCCACCTTCTAGATCTATGGATGATGTCTATCACTATACGAGAGATAGCGCAAGCTTTCCTGCTGAGTGTATGTTGTCAGCAAGCTCAGGGGTGCCTTTCTGCACGCAGGTGGAGCCCAAAGCGGCAGTGGAAGCCTTAATGAAGGCGCACGACGTCTTTGATCCTTGCTAGCAGCAAGCAAGCCTCTACTGTATTTCCTGCTCGTAGAATGCTTGCTCGACCTCTGGAATCCGCGATGCTAAGGAGCAGAACAAGACCAAGTTCAGCAAAGAGAAGCCACTCATCTTTTGATACGCTTGGAGATTCGATTTGTCAGTTAGATATGCTGAGCTGATTGGAGAACACCTCGAACTCGACACGCTCACAAAAGGCTTCATTTACTTGATTCATCTTACGGGAGGCTTGGGTGGCCATAGTGTTACCGGTCACCGATCATGTTTCAGCTGCTCTTGAGAGGACCTTTACGTCAACGAGGCAGCAAGACATGCACTTTAATGCGACACCGGCAAACACCAAAATTGAACGCTCTCATTGGTGCCCACTGGACACTGCACAACAGAATGCGGCTTATTCTTCGATTTGAGCGTGCCCACTACAGCCAACGTAGGGGACCCGCGTAGCAGAAGCAACTTCTCGATAACACGGTCAATGATACTCATCGCAGATACACGCTTCTCTCACGCAGTGGGATTCGCCGAAGGCATGCCGGAACTGGCTCGAGTTGATAGAGCCTTTCCTCTTGCTGAACTTGCTTAAGCGCAGAACACCCCCGTTGTGTGATTCAGACAGATCTTTGCTGATGTTCAATATTTGCCTTGAAGCAACTATCGGACAGGGACTCCATCCACGACGTGTAGCGTATGTGGTGCGAAGCGAGGGCTCGTTGTGAGCGTTAGCACAAGGCCAGACGCGCAGAATTGGCAGTGACGGGCAGAGCAATTGCTGGCGGTGAAAGCCCTCGACGTTGGTACTGCTGTTTAGAAGGCTCAACGACGAATTGACACAGACTGCCTCGCATCACACTTTTCTTGACATCCTCTTCCACTCCCGCGTTTCTGATCTCACCTGTTAAACAATGTTCCCCGACCGCGGGGTCGGGGACAAGATGTCGAAAGAAGTTGAAAGAGTCTTGAGCTTCAGTATTTGGTTTGTAGTCGGAGCATCAGCGTTGCGGCTCATGCTCACATGCCAGAGCATGCCGCAACAAGCGGGTGACACCAAGGAGGCCCATTCCGATGACAGTGGGCAACTTTGGCAAATAATGGTGTTCGTTTTGCGTTGACGGGCGATGTGCAATAATCTTCCAGGTGACTGGCTGACACACGTGTCCATGGAGGAGGATGACGAAGAGGAGGGCGGAGAAGAAGAGGAACTGGAAATAGATCAGGCGAATGACTTGCTCAAAAGTGTTTTCTGTTCGTGCCACCTGCAATGTCAAACAGCCAGCTCTTTCGTTTAGGTGGTGGTGCCATCACCGCTGAAGAAGCGCAGAAGAAGCACCTGAGTGGGTTTTGACAGATGCACACACACTGGTGGCAAGACAGTTTGCTGGTACGTTTTGACCAAGAGTCAATGCCGTGGATCGGGTTTGGTTGGCAGATAGCTTCAGTGTTGTTTGTCAGTTGATTGGGGCTTGCAAAATGCTGTGCGAACTTGCGCACGAGCATTCGCGGATTGTCAGCGAAGCAGCGAGCTGCGCGACAAGGTTTTTGCTGCGCTTGGAGGGGACTTGACGACTGCGCAGCAAAATCGGCTGCTGATCCAAGCATTCTGCATCGTCGGGCTTGTGCCAAATGTGCAGATGATGACTTGTCTGTGTTCTGGGCAAAGCAGGCGTCACTCGAAATTCAGACGCAAAACGCCATATCGTCCGGCTAAGGTCGAGGCCGCAGGTCATGAGCTTGGCCCTGCCCGAAACTTACACCGCCGTAGTCCTGAAGTGGTGCTACGTTACTTCCTCCGACTTGAATTAGCAGCCGATGCAACAGGGCCGCAGGCTTCAAAATGTCATCACCAACGAGCTGAAAGCTTAGCTTGCAAGCGTGGTATGCATGGTTTCAGAGAACCAGCTTGTACTCAAATGCTTCTCCAAGGCTGGACTATACCCGGACATCGATTTCCTTCACATTTCTAGATGATGTGGAGCCGCCGCTGCAGTCACCAGCCTGGAAGAATGACCATAGCATCCATAACAACGAAAGTGTCAGAGCGGTCCCTTGGATGAAGCTGCTTGCCATCCATAGCCTCTCCAATGACCAAGTTCAGGTGCCAGCCCAATGACTGTCAGCCAACCGCCACTGGCATTTATGCGGGCGTGACTATCTCTCAAGTGGAGGCCATGCTGGTAAGCTGCTCCCCCATCGCTTAGCTAACTAGCTGCCGTTTGTCTTCCAAGCCCGGCCTTCTTTCTGAAGGAATGACCGTGTAGCAAGCCCTGAAAACTACACGGCAAACTCACAAAACTGCTGATCTGCGGCTAACCCGGGACCCAAAAATCCCCAAAAAGTGGTAGGCTGTCCCTTACAAAGAACGTGCAGAAAACACGGCGGCTCTAAACTCCAATGAGCGCATCGAATGGTGAACCCCGAGCCTAAATAAGCACACCACCAGCACCACCACCGCCACCACCATCACCACTGCCGCCGCCACCACCACAACCACTACCACCACCACCCCCCACCCCCCACAAACAACAACAGCAACACATGACAAAACAGCCAAGTAGCGCCCTTGTTACAGATCATCATCGACCCCGACACCTTCAATGCACCCGCTGCGAAATTGCGAGTGGTTTTCGATGAAGTAGACCGGGTCACAGCCTCAGTCCTGGAATGCAGGTAAGTCCACAGGTTTCCAGGCCAGAGGGGAGTTTCGCTTCTCGAACAGCTGTTTGCAGGGAGAGGCATGCCGTCCTACAGAATGCTCCTTTTGAGTCTGGTTGATTTTGTGACGGCTGAGGTTGGTGCCAACCAAGGGCAGTGCAGATATGGGAATTTCGCATATGGCGCGCATTCTGCAATTGTTAACCAACCTTGGCCAAGTCCCCAGCACCTGCCTGGTCGTGATTGGGACACCTTCGGTCATTCTTCTTATCAGGTCTGGCGTCGGAGCCTCCACTATCACACTAGGCCCGCGCCATGAGCTCTGAGATGCTCTGAGCCCTCTGCACAGCTCTCTGCATGGCTTTTTGCCATCACGTCGAACTCTGGTGCAGATGGGAGTATGCAAGCAAAGATCGACCTGGCCACTTTCCTCCCCCTTACGCTGCAGTCTCAAACGACCGGGGTTTCGAAGTGCGGCTTGTAGCGTACTTAGCTTCTGCAAGTCTCGCCAGTTGTCAGGTTCAAGATGGGCGGCATCTACCACTTGTGCTACTCTGACGATGGTTCCTTTGCACCTGGACACACCGACATTGTGCCCCAACGAATTGAGGCCAGAAGGATTGGATCTATTTCAGGTTCACAAGTCATCAATAGCAAAACACGCATATGGCCACTTAAGAAACGCTAAAGGCTTGGTCTCTGCAGGACAAGATCCTTAAAGAGTGTTGATCGCGGCAATGTGTTGGTTTTAGGACCTGGAAGATTCAGTTCGGTTGCCTTTGCAAAGCGTGACAAAGCAGGTCTACGGCATCTATGACTCGCGTACCCAGTGTGCCGAAGGCCAGCCTTTGCTCCTTCTGCGCGATCCTTTCAGGAATCGCAAATGCTTTGTGTCAATGTGAACAGATGAGACATGCCTGACGAAGCGGCCGTACAAGTGCTTCTTGCGACGCCAAGCCTTCAACAACATGGAAGACGTCCGGACCCCAGGCACAAGAGAAGCAAGCAATGTATAGCTCCGACATGACTACAGACCGGCTGCATTCCGGCTTATCTCAAAGGCTTGTGAAGTCAAAGCCTGCCTTTGACCACCAACATCCACAATCATGCGGTGGTGCAGCGAGAGAGGTACAGAGTCATTTGCAGTGGTAGTCTGTCAGGCAATCTGTTTTGGAAGTAGACTGCCCAAGGGCCCAAGGGGGATGTGGCAGGGAGAGGGACGGTGAGTGTCCTGGAAGCTGAGCCTAATCGTGTTCGTGTCTTCTGCTCCTCCCCTCCAAGTTTACAGTATGCAGATCTTTGAAATTGGACACAGTGGCTGATAGTAGTTTACAGTGGGGAAAGAGGACACACGGCCGTTTTCCTGGGGGAGAGGTTCACGAAAGCAATGGATCAGGGGGGCGCCCCGTGGAGGCTTCCCCAGCCTTCACGCCTTCTTTTTCATGCCCAGAGAGTGGGGTGGGCCGTCTAGCCAAGGCAGCAGGTGCAAAAAATCTTTTACATAACCTGAAATGCCGTATTTGTCCGTGCACAAGTTAGGATGGGCCGCGAATCGCGAATGCCTGCTCTACAGGTGCTGCTGGAGGAACAGCAGGAGATGAGGAGGAGGAGGAGGAGGAGGAGGAGGAGGAGGAGGAGTGGGAGGTGGGGACCTTGACCAAGTACACGCACCAGCCACAGAGACGAACCCGACAACGACATGGACTGTCCGACGTTCACGCCGCCCACGTGGATGCTGATGCATGATGGGGAGGGCTTCGGCCTGGGTCCCTCTTGTGTGCTGAGAAGAAGAAGGAGCGGAGCACGGGAACGAGGGAGGGAGGGAGAGAGGGGAAAGCTGTTTCGATGTTGTGGGCATCTGATTGAATGCACGAATACCATGAGGCCTATGACGGCACCACTTCTTGTGTCATTGACTACAGCTACGACGGAGCAGGTTCCTAGCCGGAGCATCTCTTCGTCCGTTCAGTGCAGTGTCCGATCGCAATGTTTCAGCATCGTCCAGGTTTCCGAGGGCTTCCTGGGGGAGGCAGAGGTTCCTGGACTGGCGAGTTTGCCACAAGTGCAGCGCTGAGCAGAGCTTCGGCGCCCCCCCCCCCCTCCTTGACATCTCCGGAATTTTCAGAGGACCCAACAGAGTACCCGCTGAGATTATGATTCCAACGGCATGGTCACTACAGAGATCCTGCGGACGTGCGGCTCCAGTAGTGCATGCAGCCCAGTTTCATTGACTCTTTTGCATGAGCAGTCTGGCCTAGACGGCAGTTTGTGCACAGTGCTTTCGCTTGACGTGTTCTAAGTTGGGGGACTTCCCGGCAGCCTTTCTTTGTAACGCGGACGGAAATTGTGGTGATCTGGGCACGAGGGACCGCTTGCATGCTTCATGCGTTGGTTCCTGCTCACCGGTGTTTTGGTGTTTTCCAAGCTTGTGAACTCTTGAGTTCTTGCAGAATCCGTACATCGTTCCGGATCCGCTGCACGCATATAAGAGTGCCGGCCTCAACTTGCGCTGTGACGCTCGCTTTCGCGCAGATGCCATCGGCTTAAGGAATGAATGTGCCACCTGGTCGACCAGATCTGCAAGGGCCATCATTCAAAGCTTATGCAGTTGCGGCGGGATGCCTATCTGTATCCTTGTGCTGCCAGAGAGGTGTCTTCAGGCGAGAGCACAGAGAGTAGTGCCGAGGCATGCTACTGTCCGGACTTTCAGAGATGTGACTCCTTCAGCCCCGACTATGTACAGCAGGCGGGGAGGAGACTTTGACCTTGGTTGTGCCATCTCATTCGATCTCTGGTCGCAGGTCGGGCTACTCTACTTCTTTGCGACCAAAGCACCTTGACAATCCCTAAGAATCCTTAAGACAATCCTACTCGGAATAGGTCCTAGACATGCCTCAGAGGAAGGGCGCCTGTGCTTTCATTATGGGTCGGTGCTTCTGTGCTTCTCGACGCCGAGCCTCCGAGGTATGCCCCAACGGCTTTGAGGCAGTCGCATGCGCTCTCGATTTCACAGGCTCGGGGTCGTCATCCCATGGTCCCCTGAGAATGCAGAGAAGCACATAGAAACACAGCACGAAGCCAAAGACCGCGTCCCTTTGTCGCCGCTCAGTGGTTCCAAACCGGGCAGTGTCGGGGCAACCTGGCGGCGTTGCGTATGTTGTTTGGTGTGATTTGTTCGAAGCAGGAGGAAACTTTTCTCGCGAGGACGGCAGCAACAGGAGATTCGATGTGAAGGAAATGCACGGGCATCACCGCAAAGATGACAGAGTAGTGAGCGACAAAATAGCACACGGAAGGCTTTCTATCAGTGCACTCCAATCACATCTCTTCAGCTATCAGACCTTAGTATGTTGAGAAGAAGTCCGGGCAACCGCCTTGTCTGAAAGTCGAGTTAAGCATCCGCCTACTCCTTAGGTTCCGGGGAGAGCCAACGCGGCGTACGTGGTGATCGCTGTAACAGTGGTTAGCACCTGTGCCCTAGGCTTCAGCAAGCCTTGGACAATCCGACAGGTAGGCTGGGGCGAGGTCGTAACACGGATCTATACAGAAATTTGCCGAACTTGGCCGTCTCAACAAGTCCGCGCGTCTTTTTCGAACATGTTTTTTTGCATGCGTATGATTGATGCCCATACGGAGGGCGAGCCGAACAGGAACTGGCATCTAGAGTGCGTGCGGGAGCTTTCGGCGCATCTTGCTGCAGGCGCTGCGCCGCAGCACAGATTCGCTCCGCCCCCGGCAAGTGCCAGACATCTGCACGGCATCTGAGCTTCTGGAACTGGGCTTCATGTGATGCTCAGGCACTCAAAGTGGAATGCCCCAGCACAGCCTGTACGTTTGCAGAGACAAGCCGAATCAAAGTCGTGCAGCAGCAGGCTGGCGGTCTTGCTGAAGGGATCATTTCAGCTTAGGGTTCTTTGGTGTCCTCTGATTCAAGAGCTCAGGCCGGCAACAACCTGCCGGCATGGGACACTTCGTCGGGATGTGGTGCCGCGGTACATGGCATGAACACCTTGGGTGTGCAGGCGAACATGCCACGCTTGTGCACGTTCCCGTTTTGTAGGCACAAGCTAAAGCCCTGGCATGAGGTCCTGCCTTTCGATGACAATCCAGATGTTGTGCAGGGCTTGTTTGCCGAACGATGTCAGCGCGTTTGTTCTGTAGGGGCACATTGTACTTGGGCCTGCCTGAGGCTACGATGCACGGCGGTATTCGTCAGGACATCCCGGCCCCGGCTGTCTTTACAGGCGAAAGAAATGGACTTCATGTGTGGGTGTGAGGACTACAAGATCTGGAACTTCAAGAACTCTTCCCAGGGCTTGATCTTCGACACGAAGACGTCTGGTTTCCTTTTCAGGACGGATCAGATTGTCGAGCAGACTCGTCGAGAGTTGAGTAGTGTTGTTGTGATCTGGCAAATGCGCCGCTCTTCTTTATTTCGGCTTCAATCAATTCCCAAAAAGGGAGAGCACCTGTCCCAATTTTGCCTGCCCAGCCGGGCCCTGGGCCTTGAATGACGACTCCCGACCTTTTCACCACCGCTTCTTGGTCTTGGTTGTTCAATGCCCCCCCCCCTCCCTCCCTCCCTATTTCAAGTAAGTAAGTCCAACAAAGGGAGAAGCGTCACAAGATGTCACAAGGTGTGAACACCCAAGGTTGGTTTTGAGAAGAGCAAGATCGGCGCAAATGCGTGGGACTCGGCTTCGCAAAAGCGGGGAAGCTGATGCATTGGTACGTTGGTTCTTTATGGCTCTCACGAGAACCGGCCTGAGGATACAGAGCTGGGTTACGCGCAACTCGACCCGGAAGTCAGTCGACCTATATATTATATTATATTATATTATAGTATATTATAGTGTTTTTATATTATTCTCGCTTGAGTTCTATGCCAGTTTCATGCCTGCGTGTGCCAAGGATCAAGAGAACGAGATTGATTGGTCTGGTCGTTGGCAGTCTTGGTTGTGTTGGGATCCTGGCTCTTGTTGGCGTCTGGTCGCAGTTTGAGTGGACGACTCAGAGCATCTCCTGGAGCAATCACAACGTCACATGCAGGCCATGTGCCATGTGCCGGCTGATGCAGTTCTGACCAGGATCCACTTGGAAAGGAGGAGCCTTCATCGAGAACTCCGAAAAGAGGAACATCATGCAGCCTCGAAGCTGGCGCAGGCAAATGTCGCTTTCTACGGTCGTATCCCAAGGTATCCCTCTTCACCCGACCACACACTTCAGCCTCTCAGGGCTTTGTCTCACTGATATCACTCTCCATTCCACGTGGACATTGAGGGTCTGGGGCGAAGCACTGACAGAGAATAGCTGCTCAACCTACTGAAGTCCATTACGATCGCGAATTCGTGGCTTGCACGAAACGCGCCGTCAAATAAATTGAAATCCTTTTTTCCGCCGTGCAACAAAATTTTGGAATTTCGGTTTCGGCAAAAGGTAGCGTGTTGGCGGCCCCCCAAGCCCCGAACTTGTCTCCACCGCCGGTTGAGCCTGAGGTTGCCAAGTAAGGCCTTCGCAGTGACAACCGCGATTGCCATTCTGAATTTTACAGTCCTTACCGTATTGCAGAAAGAGAGAAAGAGAAAGCCAAAGAGCAAGAGAAAGAGAAAGAGAAGGAGAAAGAGAGAAAGAACGAGGAAGAGAGAAAGAAAGACAAAGAGGAAAGATAAAGATACAGAGAGAAGAACATGTACAGAGAGAACACGACACCTTAACACCCAAGCCCCGAAGCACAAACCGTTAAAGCCACAGAATCCCAGCCACAAAGCCCAAAAAGCCAAGCCACTACAGTAAACCTTTGAACCCAACCACATTTCCTTGCGGTAACTTTCTTGACCGGGTGAATGTCGAAGCATGCCCGTCACCTTGTGACCGAGCTGATGGTTTCACTCAAGACGGATTCCCTTCTTAGTACCGCTGTGGTTGACATGCCTCGACGTATGTTTGCGCGCTCAAACAGCAGTCGTCGGCAAAAGGGTGTCACCATGAACCGTTTGCGCACTGGGATTGGTGAGCGTCTGAAGCACCGAGTTGGGTTGCGAGGGTTGGTTGAGGCCTATCGTAAACTTGCGCGCGCATACATCTGTGTACAGACGTGCTTCGAGACTGCAAGTGCTACTCGAAGGTTGGAATGGAGCTGTGGTCCGAATACCGAGACGACATCCATGAATCCCACGAGGCGGGCCATATTCGCGGGCGCATTTTGTTTCTCGCCTGCGATCGTTTCCATTGCGACACCGTTGTGCAGGCGCAGATGCTGATGAAGCTGCTGAACGTGACGTACCAGAGCTTCGAGGTGCTAAGCTGAAGCAAGGCACCTCCATTCCAGGTCGAAGCCCCTTTTGCTGCAGGCCCGGGTCAAGGCCACAGTGGACGAAACATCCAAAGACCTTGGCTTAAACAAAGAGAAGGCAGGAGCTCCCTGAAGCTTCCTCGATGCGAAAAATGGTCGGGGTGTAGTGCGAAACCTGGAGGCCGCCAAGCTGGCTGACACACTCCTTCACCTGGTGAGCTTCCCAGCACTTGGGTCCGGGGTTCTATGGGGGCGCACGCCACTGCCCGATCCACAGATTCCATGCTACGTGAAGCCCGGATTTCTTTATCTCTCTCTCACACTTACTCTCTCTCTCTCTCTCTCCCCCGTCCTCCCTCTCTCTCGCTCTCCCTCTCTCTCTCTGTCGTTCCCATCGATATCTGCAAGTTCGTTTGGTCCTGCGTGTTAGGTTGCGGATCAGCAACAGATGGGGCTCAAGCACACCAAGAGGTGCGGCCCCTCTCGCATCTGTTTTGCCTCCGGCGTGCTCGAGCTAACTCGCTCTGCTGCTGAGGCTTGTGGATCATTTAGTCGAGGCCGGCAAGCGTGCCGTCCCGCTGGAGAAGCACACAGAAAAGGAGGAGAGCACTCCCTGTCACAGCGTGGGGTCTGACCGAGTCTAACCAGATGCCAGTCTGTCTGCTTCTTGGCGCAGGTGTTGCAAGAGATGCAACAGGAGGAAAAGATGATAGAAGAGGCCACGTTGCAAGATTGGATTGGCCTGAACAATCGCTTCTCGCATTTTCGCATTTTCGCGTTGTTGCTTGTCGGGTCACAGAGTCCAGGGTAGGACGCAGCCGCAAGCATGTGTAAATCAAAAGAAGGGTGGTGTGCGCTCGAGAAGTCTCTGCTTGCCGGAGCAAACATCTGCCTAGAAGGAAAGGCACAGGAGACAGAAACTTGCTTGCGCCCAGCAAAACTATCTCGACCAGCCTGCTGTCCCTCGCATCGAACAAAGCAAAACCTTACCAAAAAGCGGGCCCAAAGACCCGAAGCAAAGAAACTGCATGTGAGCAACAGACCATCCAGCAAAACTAAGGTCTGTCGCGATTCAGCGTGCGACTGTTGGCCGCCTTACGAGACACACATCGAGCGAGCCTCCTTGTATGGGAGTCTGAACCAACGTCGCCAACGTCATGCATGGTAGCCTTCCACGTCCCAGTCATCAAGTTTCCGAAAGTTGGGATTGTAGATGTCCCGCCCCCATTCCGCTCGGTGCTAAACGCTTCGCTCACGCCCGTTGTCCAACAGGCATCCATATCGGGATTTTGCCATTGCAAGCGGTGAAGCCTGCTTCTAACAAGGCAATCATGCCTAGACGCGGCACTCACATGCGATCATGAGCACCAGCGCAACTTGCCATGAACTGCGCCTGAATAGGACAAGGGACGCTCCTCCATCCAGCCTGTTGCAGGCACAACATCCTTGCGCCAGAAAGATCACCAAGAAGAGACTTGTATGTCGGCTGCTGGCAAGCCCTCACATGTCATGCAGCGACTCCGATGGCGGCATTTGTGCCGACTCGAACATCGGTCGTGCCACTGTCCACTTCCCGTGGCAATTCTTGCGTGAGATTGGAGTTTCAGCAGCGGGTGAGCAAGAAGTTAGCCATGCCTAAACCCTAAAACCCTAAAAGCTTAAATCCTAAAGCCTAAAGCCCTAAACCCTATGCCTCGGTCCAAAGACTCCTGAAGCTCTGAAGCACTGTGAAGCAGCTCAGAGCGTGCAAGGAGGGCGAACCTGAAGATGCCCTCCCGGGTGACAACGAGACAGACCCTTTGAAAGGCATCTTGACAGCAACCTACTCCGGAGAGCGGGCTGTGGAGGGATGTTCGGGGGGGGGGGGGGGGGGGGGGGGGAGGGGAGGGGGATCTGCGATTGTCCCGAAACGGCCGCCAAGGAATGCTAGATGGTTTCTTCTGGGTCTTTAACGACTATGAGAGGCGCATCAAACTCGAACGGCTGATGCTGTGATCCTTGAGAGTGTCTGGTGATCTGTCTGGTCGTGGATGCTCCAGGGAATTCTCTGGCAAGCCACGCTCCATGCTTCACCCGGGCAACAAAGCCTATGATGCCCTGAAGGCTCTGTCCTTTCCACCCCCTTCCTCTCCCTGCGTGCCCTGGGAAGCCTGCCAGGCGCTGGACAGCAAGATGAACGACCTGACTGAGGCACAGATCGCCGAAGAGTTCCGGCCTCGGAGCACAGGCAGAAGTTTCCCTTCTAACCCTAACCCGAAACCCCTAAACCCGACACTTTCAACCCTAAACCCTAAGCCCTAATCCCTAATCCGAATCCCTGAATTTCTTGGGCGGGTTTGCCGTAGGC